CTTTGAAGCCATCGCAAAAGTCAAACGGCGGGTGGAGATGTGGGCTAATTTTTTGCACGCTTTTATAGAGTTTCGTAGAGTGCAATTTCTTTTCCCCGTAAAACTCATTTCAATATTTAATATTACCTCCTATCTTAATTATAAGAGTTAGTTAACTAATTAAATGAGATTAATAAAATAAGTTAAGTTAGTTATTTGTAATAAATAGATATTATCTTTCCTAAAAATCCTTACTAATCAAGTGTGTTGGCTTAAACTATCATTATTAGAAGAACTACCTTGAGAAAAAAATGCACAAATATTATAGATAAAAATATTGGAGTCTTATATTAGGACCAAAATAAAAGTCTAACGGGTCTTATATTAAGGATTGGAAGTAATATAAAAATCTGGACCTGGAAAAGAAAATATTTATTGTTTTGAATAGGTGAAATAGTGAAATTCACCTATATATAAGATATTAATTGGATATTTTCTAATTGAACAGAGGTACCATTCTATTCTACTGGTAGTGTGTTTGTTAGACGTAGGCCTAGTAAGGATTGAAAATTAGTTTATCACGTTATGATGAAGTAACCAATTCTAATAAATCCAATCCCCATCGGTAGAATGATTAGATATAATATACACAAATAGAAAAATATTTAGATCTAGTTAGTTAGTATATCCATTATGTTAAAGATCATTTATGATCATGTCTTTTATTTTTTTCATGTGGATTTATGATTAAATTATATTAAATGTTACTCAAATAATTTGTAATTAAATTATCTTTAAATTATATTAAAGAAGATGATTAGGATGTTTAAAAAAAGATATTAACTAATTTAACTAACATCATTAATCTACTCAAATTAATTAATTAAGTTTTACATTAAGAACTAGAGGAGTAATATTTCAAAAATAGAATACATGATTACATATAATTAAAGAATTTGACATAATGACATAAAAAACTTGACTTATACATTGTTGATATAAATGTACGGATGATTCTCATAATTTTATTAAAAATTCAAAATTGAATTGGAGAATTCATTTACTTTCATGTGGGGTGAGGATTAATTCAATTTGCATGCTTATTTTTATAATAATTCCAAAAATATTTCTTGGTAGATTAGTTAGGCCTCTAGATTGGGAGTACTGTTCATGAGCTAGCAATTCAAATGCATAGCACTGAGTTATTCAAAATGCAACACATTATTAAAAATTTTTTTTTTTAACTTACTGTCCTGCAAAGTTGAATCTTCATTTCCAAATTCGACTTTTACTCCCAGTTTGAATTTATTACAATTTTTCAAATAAAGTACGAAAATATAGGAAAATTACGTATATGTCCCTGATAAGAGACTTATATACAAATAAGACCCGTGAATTCGCTAAATGTCATTTTCTTACATGTGATAAAAAGTCTAAATGACCCTTTGACAAATGTAATGCGGCTTATCTGCAGATCAAAGAGGTCTTACCTCCGAAGTAATCAAAAATTATACAGATTCATGTGTAAATTAAATATATATTATGTTTGAGTTGTAAATTTAGGAAGTAGACTTGTACTATCCATTTATGTTTATCGAAAAATTAGTTAAAATCAGTTTAAAATAATAAATATGTAAGGCATATATTTTTTTAAATTAAAAAAAAGGAAAGAGAATATATGTTAGGATAAAATTGAAAAAAAAACCATTAAATACTTAGATGAAAATGAATGTTATCTTTAAAAAAAATAAGCCCCTCCACTAGAGTTTATCTTATATTTTGAACTAGAGGGGGTAGATTCATTCATATGTAAATTTTGAATGGTTAGCAATTGAAAATAGGCCATCCGTTTTTGGAGAAAAGGGGCATTAATTACAGGTTTGGAGCAGAGTAAGGTTTCTGTTTTAGAAATAATTGAGCTAAATAAAATACCCTGAAATACCTGCCTAGCTTCACTAGCCGGAAAAAAAGAAAAAAAGAGCATCGTTTATTATCCTGACATCCAAAATATAATAAGGAGAACGAAGAAAAAGAAGAAAAACGAAATCAATAACTCTACAAAGATATGATAAATTTTTATTGGTTTTTATGACATTTTTTAACCGAATTTGAACATGGTCAGTTTTGTAGAGATTTTTTTTAATAAAAGGAAAATTTGATTGATAGAGATTTCTATCAATTATCCAGATTCTCTGCTTCTATACACTTTTAGATAATAAAAAAATGAATGGTCTAAGGTTAATTTCTTATAAAATTATTATTATAATATTTTATCAATTAAAATTTTTCATTTTTTATATTATAGTTATGAAATGTGTAGATCAAAGTTTAATTTTTATTTATTTCTATAATGATAGCTATAAAAAATATTAGACTTTAGTCATCAATTTTTTATCCAAGGGCTATAAGAGTATGAAAGGCCAGTATAAAGAGGGAAATGAGAGGCTTTGGATTTTTTTTCCCCATATGAAACGATATTTGATTCAATTTTCATATCATAACACTACCAATTCTATAGCTGTGAATCCAAAATGCCTGACGTTAGTTCTTAACTCAACTCGAAGTTTAAATTGACGGGGTTTTTCTAGGTTATGTATTTATTTAATTTTTTGGGTTAATATATCGTTGTTGACCCTTACTATCAAACTCTAGTTTTGATCTTTTTAGTTTTAAATTGCAGTTTTTCATCTCTATAGTTTCTTCTATCTAAAATATTAGTCTCTATAATTTCATAGAGACTTCCATATGAGTTTAACGGTATAAAAACCACAGCAAAAAATCATTAAGAATATAGAGATTAGAACCAATGCTGGTTAAAAAATCATCAATAAAAAAGGCAACTTAAATGCAAAATAGAGGACAAGGAAATCGGCTTTGACAGAAAAATCTATTCTGAGTGGAAAATTCAATTTGCAACAGAAAATTGATTTTCAACGTGTCATTTCACGCTTTAATTTGGCTTCTTCTTTTTTTTTAACTTTCTAGTCAAAGTTCGTCAATTTGAAAACAATTTTAAGTACGTGTAACTCTTCTCTGTTTATGTGTAACATATTTTTAACTATGTGTAAATGACTTTTACATTAAAAACTTTTGCATATAGTTTAGAATATGTCACACAAAATTGAAAAATTGGAAAAAATTTTTATTTGTATTTTTAATGAGTTTTGGTTCTAGTCCCTATATTTTAATGAATATTTTAACTTTGGTCCCATGGCTATGAGTTTTGGTTTTAGTTTCAATACTTTAATATGTTTTGATTTCCTATAGTTTTAACGAATTTTGGTTTATAGGATTAAATTCTAATTCAAGTTCGTATGAAATATTGAAATTATAGGGACTAACAATTTGGATGGATAAAACTACATGGGGACGAAAAACTAAGATTTAAAACTATATGAACTAAAATCAAGATTTATTCAAAATATAAGAACCAATAATAATATTAACCATTAATTCTTGCCAAGTAAAACGGGAAATGAAATTTAAAATCAAGCCAAAGTATACTTTTGGTCTTTTTACAAAACTCGAATTGGCCCCTCAACTTTAAAAAGTATACTTTCAGTCATTTAATACTATTAAAAAAATATATGATATTGAGATATTAAATATTGATAAAATATTCCCAAATACTAAAATATAATTTTAATTTTCAAAATAATCATAATTGTTACAAAAGAATGCTATCTCCAGTCCTTAATATTAGAATTAATTGACCAATTTAAACAGATTAAGAAGGTTTGTTAAGTTAATTTTTTTCTTGAAAAATTTAATTATTATTAATTAGAACTACCATTTGATTAAACCTTTAATATGTGCAAATACTACAAGAATTATTTTTAAAAACAATGGATAAATGTGAGAGGTGAAGTAAATTGAGATTAATGTTAAACTAGCTCCTATATTAAAAAGAAGGTAGTATCATTTAAGCATAATGATTTTAAGATTAAAGAACTAAAATTTTTTTTTAATTAAGAGATCAAACTAAAATCTTATATAAGGTTAAAAGAATAAATGTATATTTTTTTGCCTTAAAATCGAGAGACCAGGGACGTTTTTGTTTTGACACTGGGCCTACCCAATAAATTAATAAAGAATTAAATTCAATATTTGAAAATTGGAACCACGTTAGTTTTTTATTTCGTTGTTTTGTTAATATGTAGTAGAACTCATCAAAAACAAAATATTTGAAACCACAAGAAACGTTCTGACATCTAATAATAATATATACTTATATGTCATTTCCAATGTTAAATGATATAGTTTAGGTCAACCAAGCCGTCTTTTTTGAATTCTATAATGAAAAGGATTAATATACAAGCTACTAAAATTTTATCTCATTTTTAATTAAATTTTTATAGGATTCTTATCCCTATATTATAATTTGTTAATTGTTTTGAGAGAGATGGTAGTAGCTGATGATGAGTTGACTCTCACTCAACATGCATCGGAATTAATTTTGCCAACATGAATCTAAATAAAATAAAATAAAAAATACTATATTACAAATTACACATAGATGAAAGTTGGAGAAGATTACAAGCCTAATATTTTTCAATTTTTACATTGATAATAAATAAATTTTATATTGTCATTTTATTTTTAAAAACTAATTTTTATTTGTATTTTGTAACAACTTACATATGACTCGTTGGTATCTATATCAATCATATTTAACGGATTATGAGCATAAGAACAATATCAATAGTTGAAAACGTTATAAAGACCCGTAAAAAGTATTACAAAAATTAATTAAAAATTAGGCTAAACCATGGGACTCGCTAATTAACTTTTCCTTCTATATCAATCTAATGACAAGTTACATTCAAAACAAAAACTATTATTGTAATTTCATGACCAAGTCTCTATTCAAATTTCAAAGTCTTCCACTAGGAAGTTTCTCTTTCCTCTTGAAGCTACAAATTAACACAGGCCTGATCGAAACCAAGCAAACAGAAAAGCTCTCTCTTTCAAAACTCTCTCTTAGAAGGTCACCTTAGAGTTTAATCCAAAATCACCAAATCATGGCAAGTTTTGGAACAACCCAGAGAATTCCCACATCATCAACACCAATATCTTCATCCACCAACGAACCTTATGAACCAAAAGCACCTCGTGAAAAGCAGTTCAAGGACTTCAACCTTTACTGTCCTGTTAATATTCCCCTAACCCCAGTATCTGCAGCTCTTCGGATCATCAGAAACTTGGGCAATTTAGGGTTATATTACACACTATTTGTCTGGATCATACTCTTCATAGCCTTAATCCCTGAGCGCAAGGTTTCTCTGATTCTTCTGGTTATTATGAGCTATGTGACAACCTTGTACTTGCTACTATTAAGGGCATACCCTAGTTCTTATGTCCTTCACAGAGTTATAGACAAAAGGTTTGTTTTGGCTCTACTTGCAATTGCCACTATGGTTCAACTAATTGTAACAAGAGCGGGAATTCATCTGGGTGTGACTTTGGCTTGTTCGATGCCTCTGGTCTTGTTTCATTCTGTTCTATGGATTAGTCATCAAGAGATTTCTGAGAATATTGAGGCTTCTGGTGTGGAAGAACTGGCTCCTCTTTCTGATGATAGGGTGTGATCATTTTTGGTTGTTGATATAATTTTAACAGAGTCTTTTAATTTGGATATACTACGTTATTGTCATGGATACTTTTCAAAGATTTATGCGATTAGTGTTGAATTTTGAGTAATAAATGTTGGATACTCGATCAGATTTTCCTGAACAGCTTGTACTAAGTTGAATTATATATTGGTGAATAATCACAGACCTCAATTTAAGGTCTCTTCTTTGCGAGCTTTTTTATGCTGGAACAATTGATGCATTAAGTATGGATAGGTTGATGTAGAAATTGAATAGTTGAAAATGATATGTAATATAATTTATGAACTAACTATTCTAAACTATTTTTTTGGCCAGCATTCTAAACTAGCATAAATATAAGTTATAAATAAAGCAATGTTAGAGGAGAGTAATATTCAAGAGCAATAATTGATCTAATGCAAAGTTGCATCTGGATTTGAGGCTTCTAATACTTCAACTTTTCAGATGCTTTTTCTGGTTTCTTTTGTTAATTAAATTCTACATAAAATGAGTGACATTTTGATATCTTATGAGCATCAAAGGGCATTGTTTTTATTTTTCCCAAAAAGAGAAAGAAAACTGCACAATTTTAATGTTTTGGAAAAATCATTTAAAAAAACTCAAAATTGCACCACTTTGTGCCTATAAAATATCAAAATATCACTCATTTAATGTAGAATTTATTGATTAAAAACCTGGCATTTTGAAGAACATTAGAGAGAGGCGCATTAGAAGCCACAAGCCGGTTTATTTCTGTAACTCAACAATACGACACCGCGTTTTGCAAAATGTAACACGTTATTGAAATTAAATAACTGAATAAATCCATAATCAGAAGAGGATGGTTCATTCATTGACAAAAGTGTGAAAAATATACGATATATATATTCATAGACACAAGCACACATAATAGCTGCTTTATAAGTATAGATTAATTAAATTTCATGTCTTGTGGTAACAAAAAAAAAAGTTTAAATTTCATGTGACTCCGGTCAGGTAATGCCAGAACAATGGGCGCGCGCATAATATGCTTATGGCGCCGCCAGGGTAGTTCGAAACTTCTAGTCGTTTGAAAATTTGTGTTTATGATATTACTACCTCCTATCCGTAATATAAAAACTTATTTGATTTTTATTTTAGTCTTAAATAAAAGATTTCAATCTACTTTATCTCTTACATTTATCCTTTTTTTTCAAAATAACCCTTGTAATAATAGTAATTCTAGCCAATACAATTGATTAGTAAGGATATTTTAGGAAAAATAACACCTATTTATTATAAATAACTAATTTAACTAATTTTTTTTAATTTACTCAAATTAATCAACTAGCTTTTATATTAAAGATCGGAAGTAGTACATCACTTCTCAGTATTAAAACGCCTACAAAGTGACGCACGCACCAACACACAAAATAAAGCATAACTGAATAAATGATAGTATAGTAATTATGTAAGCAATGAATATTTGAAAAACAGAGGAAAATAGGGCGATGAGAATCGAATTTGTAAATTAGCCAAACTTCAATTTGGGTTGTTAAAGTTGAGAGATCATTCATTTCAATTTACCTCAATGCTTGTGAGCTACTAGAAGAGAAAAATTGATGATAGTTTGGTATTGCAAATGGAATATTTTGAATTGTGAAATTTGACTTGTTAATTTTTAAGGTTGTCTTGTACTTGAGTTAAAAGAGGCTTATTGCCCAAATTTTGTTACAAACGAAAACTTATGAATTATGAATTGCGAAATTTGGATGTCAATTTCTAAGAATATCTTGAGATTGAGTTACAAGATGTTTATTGCAAAAGTTTTGTTATATGAATGCGAACATGCGAATTGTGAATGAAAACTTGTGAATTGAGAAATCAAACGTGTTAATTTACAATAAAGCTGTCTTGCGCACTTGAGTTATAAGAGGTTTAATGTAAATGTTTTGTTGTGAAATAGAACTTGTGAATTTCAAACGGGAACTTGTCAATTTCAAATGGGAACCTATTAATTTCTGTGGATGTATTGAGTTTAGGTTACAAGATCGTTGCAAAAATTTTATTACGAATGAGAACTTGTAAATTACAAATGAAAACTTATGGATTGAAAAATTTAACATGTTAATTTCTAAGGCTGTCTACAGATGAAAGGATACTAATACGAGCATAATACTTTTTAATTTTTACATTGATTATAAATTTAAATAAATTCTATTCTATCATTATATTCTTAAAATTAATTTTTATTTCTTATTTCGCAACAACATACAGATAGCTTGTTTAGTATCTATATCAATCAACTAATATGAATAACTGAGAAATTATAAAAACCTAATAAAAAATAGGGAAACATCTTAAAAAGTTAAATGAATAACCCAAATTTCAATATGGGTCACTAAACTTTTGAAATCTCTAATCAATTCAGACGAGCCAAAGAGAGATTTAGAAATTTGGCAAATTACGTTAATGCCCCCAGTTAGATTTTCAAGTTAATTTTGATTTTCAATCCTTAATAAATTAACAATTACCAATTTATGTTAAACAATTCACAAGTTTCAATTTAAAACTAATAACTTCCCTTTCCAAATGAAGCATTTTCAATAAATCTGCAAAAGAACTTAAAATGCATTCTTAAGAATTAACAATTTACATCACTCAGCTCATAAATTTTAATTTGAAGTTAACGACTTCCTTTTCCTACAAAATATTTCCAATGATTTCAAATAGGACTTAAGTACAATACATCCCTAACAGCTAAAAAGGTATATTATGCAGTTCACAGGTACTGATTTGAAATTAACAACTTTCCAAACTTACAAAACATTTTCACTGAATCTCAAAAAGAACTCAAGCATAATACATCCTTATATAAATTCCAATCAGTCTAAGAATGAAGGCACAACATTAAAAGCGCAGCAACGCACTAGCTAGGATAACTTCCTCTACAAACTCTATGGTCTTTGTTGTTCATAAAAATGGGGCAAATGGAAGAGCTAAAGGCTAAAAAGTGTAACTACAAACCACTGTCAATGTGACAAAGTGTTAACTTCAAAAGCTTCATATCTTTTTTTAACACATTTTCCTCCTTAATTTCCTGTTCTTAGAGGTAAATTGTGCTTAGAAATAGAGCCATTAAAAAAATATATGTTTAGTCTAGCTCCTTGGGATATCTTATGATAATTGTGATTATTTTGAGTTATTTAGAACTCATACTAATTAGAGTAGCTAGAAGGAAGCATGGAAAAGCTTTGAGGACTAATGTAACAAACTCTCAATTTCAAGTGTATTTGATGTTGGTTCAGCACAACCAATGCTACAACGAATGAAAGGAAAATTTAACCCGAGAGGGGTGAAATTTATGGCTACTGGTTGTTGGTTCGCCATGGCCAACCTAGAGCAAATGAAGAAAATATGTTACTGTGTCATTTGATTACTATCATGTTGTTAGGGTAAAAAGGGAGGAGAAACATGATGGCTAGACATTCTGGACAAAAGGAGAGGCGATTTCACACTACTAGGTCTCGGGAGAAAAGGGTTTTGAAGAGCTTGGGAGCCTTGAAGTGGATTCATGAAGAGATTTTTATAATTCTCACGCTTTTTTTTTATTTTGCTTTCCTTCTCTTTTCTACTTCAAATCCGATATGACTGAGATGTATTTGTATAGTTTTGGTTCATTTTGGATAATGAGTAGCTAATTAAACTCTTGGTTCTAGGATTGCTTCGAACTATTGTGAGGATTAGACTAGTTTATTCCTCTCTTTTAGTGATTAATGAAGTTATGTGTTAATTTTATCTTGTGCCTATTGCTTCTAAGTGTTTGATCACCACTTGTGTTGTTTTGTTTATTTGAATGGAGCCTGAGAGAGTCCATTTGGTTGCAGAACTTAGGTAGAATTGTGTTAGACTTAAAGTTTTTAAGTAAATGGATGGTTTGTTAGTAGATAGAGATATTCCTATTAACCTAAAATTGCTAAACTAAGAGTGGCATTTATTGAGATTCTTTAATTAACATTAAATAAGAGATTGTGAAAGTTTATTAAGATTGCAAAGCTTGGTTTTGACTTGAGAAAGCTTAATCAACATTTGTGAACCTCGGACTAATATAGATTATCATTAAAATACTAATGAGAAGTTTTTAATCAAGTTTTATGAACCATAGTACAAAGAAATAATCCTAAATCCTTTTTTGTCTTAAAGTCAAGTTTTCAAATACGATTTTAATCTTTGTTTTCAAAAATACTTTTCTTTAACAACTTCATTTGCAAAATGATTTCACTTAACCTAATCATGAACACAAGTGTGATTTTTTAACTAATTGCCTTAGTCTCTCAGAGAATGATACTTTTTATACTATTTGCAACCTTGTATGCTTGCAGTTAAGTTAAACAGCGAACACAGAGGGTAGTGAAGTCATTTTACTTACATTTCAAAATCCTAAATTCACTCAATGACCTAATTAAAAAAAATTATTGAATTTATCAAGCTCATTTGGGATTTCATTAGTCTAGTTGACTTCATATGGATTTTTTCCTAACAAATATTATAAAAAATTAATTAAAAATTAGGTTAGACCAAAAGACCGACGGATTAGTTTTTCCTTTCACAATAACCTAATGATAAGTTACGTTCAAAAAACAAAAACTACTATTGTAATTTCATGACCAAGTCTCTATTCAAAGTTTTCCACTAGGAAATTTCTCTTTCCTCTTGAAGCTATAAATTAACAAACCTGAACGAAACTAAGCAGACAGAGAAACTTTCTTTTTCAAAACTTTCTCTAGGAAAGTCAACTTAGAGTTTAATGCAAAATCACCAAATCATGGCAAGTTTTGGAACAACCGAATGAATTGCCACATCATCAACACCACCATCTTCATCCACTAATGAACTTAATGAACCAAAAACAACTCATGGAAAGCAATTCAAGGACTTCAACTTTTACTGTCCTATTAGTATTCCCTTAATCCCAAAATCTGCAGTTGTACAGATAATCAGAAACTTGGGCAATGTAGGGCTATATTACACACTCTTTGCATGGATCACGCTCTTCATAACCCTAGTCCCTCAACGCAAGGTTTCTCTAATTCTTCTGGTTATTATGAGTTATGTGACAACCTTGTACTTTCTTCTATAGGGCATAC